AGTCTCGTCGCCCTGAAGTCACGGTTGCAGACCCCAGACGAGTTAGATGTCTGCTCACCTGCGGAAGGGTAGGCAGCTTCTCTCCCCACCCCCAAGATCTCACTTAAAAGGACAGACTCAGACTGGAGCTCTCCCGAGGTGGAGCACAGGCCCTGGGTATCAATGGGAGGGGCATAAAAGATGGTACACAGGGTAATTCCTACTCTGAGGAGGGCTCGTTGCTTAGAACTATAGGTAATATAGTTAGAAAGAGAAACAAGTTACAGCTCTGAGGAGCTTTTGGGATGGGGGGGGGGGCTCCTAGTCCTGGAAGAGGTGGCTGTTTTCTTGACCTGACTTTTTTTTTTGAGACAGGGTCTTCACTGTGTATCGAAGGCTGGTCTGAAACTCACAGGGATCCTCCTGCCTCAGCCTCCCAAGTGCTGGGATACACCACCACTTCCAGCCTGACCTGGCCATACTGACATTTAACTGTAAGCTCCCCATAAGCTTTGCGCCCTTTGCTCTACGTGTGCCATACTTCATAACAAACAACACCAGGAGGGAGCAGAGAGGCCCTAACACATTCCACAGCCATGCCACTGCCATGCCACAGCCATGCAACAGACAGGCATTCCGGAGATGTTTAAGAGCAAGGGTGAGGGGTGGCAAAGGGGACGGGCCTGTGTTTCCTCCATTCGCTGAGTGCTTTTCACTTTGTTCTGTTTACAGACGTCTTTACAAACAACCAGTGAAATGTTAAGAGTTTGAGAAGGTAGAGTTCAAAGAATAGATTTTCTATCTTTTCCAGGGTAAATAAACATTCTTTCAGCTAGTGGTGATTCACATTTGTCAGGATCAAAACATATTCTATACACAATGTCCTGAAATTAAAACAATCCTCAGGATTCAGGTGTGGGGGGAGCACAGACTAGAAGACAAGATAGCAAAGCAAACAAAAGTAAGTCCTCAGAACTTCGCAGAACGTATGCCCTTCAGCAGGTGAGAAAAGAGACAGAACACACGGAGGGGGTGAAAGCCTTCCCAGCCCCCACTTTTCAAAACAAGCACCCATGTTTAAGCATTGCTTTTGGGGGGATAAAAAAGTCAGAAGTGGGCTACTGCATACTACAAACACACCCCTGAGCAAGGCTAAAAAATAATACTGTGAGCTAAATATGTGATCCATAAATGTCATTAACTACAAATCATCATTAATAAGCATTAAATACATGGTGAGGAAACAGTGCCAGAAACCTTCCCCACAAAACTGTTCTTGTACATCTGTGTGCATGCAGATGCTCAATCTGGATTGAGTTTCTTCACCACAAAATCAGATTTCTGCAGCACCCACAAGGCCAGGACAACACTACACCCAGGGGTCCTGGGTGTCCTCCCAGCCCGAGGGAGCTGCTCTGCACCTTTACAGCTGCAACAAACCCCGGAGCCCCACAAGAGTAGGCGATGGAGACCAAGAGAAGGGAGAAGAAGGAAAGGAGAGAAATCGGCTTCCCCAGGAGCCAGGCGGCCTCCAGGAGACAAACAGCTCTGAGCAGCAGCCCGTCCCCAAGGGGCGGAGGGAGGGACCGGCGGGTGGGCGGGCCCGCGGGCAAGGAAGGGAGGAGCCTCGGCCGCACCTTCAGATCCCGGTCCCCCTGTAATTTAGGAGGCACAGAAGAGGTCTGGGCTCCTCCCACCTCTGTCCTCCCACACCCGGGTTGGCCGGCGGAACAAAAGAGGTCCCCCTCTTTGGGAAGGCCTGGGCTGCCTTCCCTCCCTGCAGACACAGGTGGTGGTGACACAGGTGGTGCTGAGCAGGAGGAACCTTTGATGACCACAACATACACTTCATTCCTACTTCATCACTACATTAAGAGAGGATTTCTCTAGCAATTCACAAACGATGGCCCAGAACCCACAATCTGTCAGTAAGAGCAGCTCTCGGCCACAGCCCTGGGCACCTCAGATTCAGCCCCAGGTTATTATGGCCATCAGTCACCTTGAGAAGAGCCCGTCCAACCTGCTTCCTGGCCCCCAGGGGTGAGAGGGCCCTCGCCAGGGGCTGACGGGGAGCTGTCAGCCACACAGGGACTTGGAAACCCAGATCCCCCAGCAGCAGGGAGAGCTGTCACCAGCACATAGGTCATCAGCTCTTACCAGACTACCTCACCCCCACCCCCTCCAAACTTGGTCCAACCATGGGCCTGGGGCCCAGAGGCCACCCCAGGTATCATTACTGCCCCTGTGGGGGGCTGTGCAGGCCCCAGCATCCAGGGGCTAACAATTCGTGAAGGAGACAGACACACAACACCTCTGGAGACACAGGGTGGGTGGCAGAATCCTAGAACAGTCCAGTCCACCGGCTCTCCTCTCAATTTCATTCTACAATGAACTTTCAGAATAAACCCAAACAGAAAAGCAGCTCTGGGCCTCGGTTCCTTCCCCAAAACCAGGCAATGCTATCAGATGTCTGAGGCCCTGGAAAGCCCCGGGGTAATTAGGTAATTAGAGAAGACAAGGCAGGCTATAATTAAGGGCTAAATTATACACGAGCAGCTACAGCTGCCATTGGGAGAGAGGTGGGTTTATCTTCTGGTGGTTGTTTTTGAGTGGACCTCCATGCTGCCACTTTTGTGCTGCCACTTTCGGGGCCCAGCCAGGGCCTGGGACCCAAGAAGCAGAAGGACACAGACACTGCCATCAAGAGGATCCCAAACACTTAGAGTAAAAAACCAACCTGGGCTAGGTTTCACCTATGACCTGTTTGGAGCAACCAGAGAAAAGTGGGCTTCCCAAGGACACCACAGAAATATTCATTGGGGGGCCAGGGAATTTAGCTCAATGGTTCCAGCACCTCCCTTGCAAGCACAAGGTCCTGAGTTCGATCCCTGGTACCAAAAACAAAAACAAAACAAAGAAATATTCGTTGGAGTGAGGAAGGGTGACCATGAGGTCCTCGAACAAAAGCACTGAACCCCACGAATCAGGTGGTCATCGGAGAAGACTCAGTACCCAGAAGCCACCCGACTCCCAGCCCTCCTACCTGGGCCTGGCCTCTCCCTCTCCTGCCCCAACAGCCCTGCCCCAAACCTGCTGCTGGTGGCAGTTCACCCCTTTGTTCTCTCTGGGCCTGCCTGCAGCCCACAGGAACCAAGGTGCAGGGACCAAGCAGGACGGCCTTACCTCAATCACTTAAATGAGCTCAAGCCACAAGCCGAGCATGTGCTCGGCAGGCTCGAGGCCCTGGGTTCCACCCCAGCACCACCAAAGTAAATTAATAAAATCAAGGGAGGGTTCTAAAGTGAGATTCAGGGAGACCTGGGTTGCTCCAGATAACTGACCAAAAAGATTTATTTGCATGGAAGTTGCTAGAAAGCATGAACAAAGTTGGCAAGGGCACATGGTTGATTCTGGGAAGAACTATGCCTGGAACAACTAAGGCAAATGGTTTAAAACTAGCATGGAAAACAAATACAACTATCTACACCTTAAGTTTTCAAGCAAACAGGTCACATGATTCCCTTGTCCCAGGCCTGTAAGTGGTATGAAGCTATCTGTGCCCTGAATGAATCACGCTGCTTACCAATGTGCATCCCATTTCCCAAATGCCTTCCCTGGAATGCTGAGGGGCTGAGACCTTCAAAACCAGTCGTCTCAGCACGCTGGGTTTAGGGGAGCTGCAACTGGTCCAACTCTTATCAAAAAAAAAAAAAAAAATCTGCCTCCGATTTCTGCCCATCTCCCACCATCTCTGCAAGGCAGACCAGATGTGTGCGCTGTTTACACTGCGGAAACCACCAGGACACAAGCCGCTCACTCTGCACAGCACACATTTTGCTGTGCTTTTCTCCATTCCCTGAGTATTTATTTTGGTGCTAAAATAATGTTAACTTTCATAATAAGGAAAATGGAAGCAGATGTTTAAACCAGAGGCTAGCCTATTCTCCACTTAGCTGTTCAACTCTTAAACTCCAACTTGCTTCCTACCAAACACAGAGGGAGACGACTTTACCAAGGACACAACCATAAATCAACCTGGCCGGGCTTGCCCTACCTCTCCCTCCCGGCCCAACCGGGACTGAAAACTGCATCTGGTATCCATTTCCCAGCGGGCCTCCCTCCTTGCCCAGGCTGATCGCTGGCTATATTCTGCCTGGCATCCGAAACACCCCATTACGTGTGGAAGAAGACAATACAACAGAAACTGCCTCAGAAGTCCTAACTTCCCGTTCACTGGGGGGAAAAGTTCTAGAAACGAACAATCGTGGTCAACTCCGCAGGAAGCAAGTCCGGGCAAGGCTGCGGGGCCCCTTCCAGAGAGGCCTTTTCCAAGAGTTCCGAAGTAAGATCCCAGCAGCAGATTCCAAGAAACCAACTCACCAAAGTTCTCCCAACTGAACTAGTAAAAAAGCAACAAATACCCTTCCCATAAAACTTTAAGATCTTTATCTGTAGAGTTAATTTTATAAAAGACTTTTTTCCTGGAAAGGGGAAAAGAAACAAGTTTTCCAGGTCTGATTAGCAAACAGACCTGGAATTTTTACAAGAAAAATACAAGCGAATCAGCTCCCCCTCCCTACTTCTTATTGCTGTTTTCTTTTTCTTTCTTTTTCTTCTCCTGTCTGCCCTGGAGAAAACCCGGCAAGCGCCCTGCTGGATCAGGAAGGTGAGGCGTCCAGGCTCTTCCTCCGGGCCACAGGCCGAATCCCACGGCCGGCCTTGGCCGGGCCATTGCCAGGGCTCCGGCGCGCACGTAGTGTCCCAGAGATGAAGAAAGCGCCCTCCCTCACCTAGGCCGGGCGGACGGACACCCTGGGGGGAGAAGGGGCGAAGACCCGGGGCGAAAGCTCTCGGCAGCCCCCCAGCTCCCCCGCGCTACTGTGTTGCCGCAGAGGGGGCGCAGCTGTCAGGAAACGGGGCGCCAGACAAAGGCCCCTCCGGCCTGCGCCCTGACTCGGCGCCCCATTGTTCCGGCGTCGCCCCTGCGCTCGCGGGCCCTTCCCGCACCCTGGCCCCGGTACCTTCATAGCAGAGGATGCCGATGTTGTTCATCTTGTCCAGGTACTGGAAATTCAACAGGTCCATCCTCATAAACAGCATTTATCAGCGAGCAAAGAAAACCAGCTCTTCGCTTTCGCCCCCAAAGAGAAAGTTGCAAATGCAATGGTCGCGGGGTGGCTCCCGGCTCTGCCGGCCCGCGGAGGCCTGGCCCCGGGAGCACAACAAAGTACGGGAAAGTTAAAAAAGAAAGAGAGGAAAGCGCCCACAGAAACCGGGCTCGGACCCTCCCGGGGTCACGGGCGTCCGGTGCATGTACGGTGTCCCCGCCGCAGCGTCGGAGAGGGGTCCGGGGGTCTTTACAAGTCTGTCTGGGACATCAGAAAGGGGCGAAGAAGGAGCGCACTTCCCAGGACAAAGCCTCGCTCACAGCCCGCTGCAAGCCAACTGTGCGGACACGCGGGGCGCACGGCGGGGGCGCCCTGCCCGGGAGCCGAGCATGCTCACTGCGCCGCGGGCTCCTGCTCGGCCGCCGGAGCCCGCGCCAGGGGAGGGGCACGCAGGAAGCGGCGCCCTGCCAACGGGAGGAGGGGAGCCCAGCCAGCCAGTTTCTTTTTCAGGAGCTGAACACGAAGTTAAAAAAAAAAAACACAACACTGCGGAAGCAAACTTCCCTGGAACTTAACTTTTGTGTCGCTTTACCCCGGGGTCTGGGAACCCAACGCGTTCTTGCTAGGCTTTCTCTTTCTGCAGTTTCTTTTGTTTCTAAGATAGACTCGTGTGTTTCAGGTTTCAGTGTAAATGTAGCACACAACTTCTTTTGAAACCCCTGGTCCAACGCGGGGGGTGGGGGTTGACGTCATCTTTTTGCAACAGGGGAAACTGAGGCCCGGAGGGCTGAACGCCAGAAAGACCTGGTAGTTTCACTGCTTTAAAAATGTGGTCTCCCATAAGAGAATCTTAAATTTTTTTTAAAATGGAGGAAGGGGAAGATGGACACATACTTAGGCAAACAGGACTCATATAATCTGAAAAAACAAGACTCAAAAGCAGCAAGCTTCCTTGAAATTGTGGTGAGGGGACAAGGCGGGCATCGTTTGAGCAAGGACAGGGCCGCACCTGGTGGCTGTCGCTGTCCTCACTGCCGGCCACCGGCTGAACCCCATCTCCAGGGCTGCCCTGCCACATGGTGAACCCCGCGGGAACTGGAGGTGCTCTCTGTACTGAGTTACTGTGCTACGGAGCCCTGGGAAGGATCCAGGTGTGCGCAGGACAGCAGGCCAGGCAGATGTTCACACTCAACGTGGAATGAAGGAACTGTACACTTTAAAGATCCAGCAACTGCTGCATTTGGGGTAATGGCCATGTGGGGGCAGGTTCTAACCTTTGTGGGTTCACAGGACCCCGATTCTGTTGCCCTGGCTGCTGCTGCAGGAGCTCTGGGGCAAGCGGAAGCGAGCGGGACCAGGTCTTCCAAGCCTCTGGTTTACAGGGCATTGACCCAGTCTCCCCAGGGTTCTAAGACCCCCTGAGCCCTGCCCAGATGCCTGTCCCAGGACCACCATTAAGATACTTGATGGTGTGTGTGCGGGGTGGGAGAAACCCTGACACTGCTCAGCAGCTTTGTGTCTTTGGGAACTAGACTCAGTCAACCAACAGTTCCAGAGCACTATTACCAGGGTACATTCTTTGGCAGGAGTTGTCAGTCACAAAACTCTATGCCTCACAAGCACATTCTACATGAGAGAGATCTGGCTGTACCTCAGAATTAACTGGGAGCTTTTAAAAATGCAGGTGCAGGCCAGGGATTTAGCTCAGTGGTTCCGCCACCTGCCTCGCAAGCACAAGGTTCCGAGTTCAATCCCCAGTACCAATAAAATAAAAAAATAAAAATAAAAATGCAGGTGCTAGCAGGGCATGGAGGCTGAGGCAGGAGGATCGCCACAAATTCAAGGCCAGTGTGGGCTGCTTACTGAGTTCAAGGCCAGTCTGGACTACACAGTGAGACCCTGTCTCAAAAAAAACAAAATCTGGGTGCTGAGGCTGCATCCCAAACGGATGGGGGGCAGCTTCTAAAGACCCCAGGTGGTTTGCACATGCAGCCACGCTGGGTGCCCTGCCTTCTTTGTGGAAGGAAACACTTGCCTTGAGATGCTTCATTTTAGACATCTAAGGAGAGTTCAAAAAAATAGTGCTTTAAGCACACGTTTCACACAACATGGTTGTAAGGATATGAGTAAAATATACGGTGACAGGGGCCAGGGATTTAGTTCAGTGGTGCCGCCACTTGCTTCAAAAGCACAAGGTCCCGAGTTCGATCCCGGGTACCAAAAAAACAAATTGGCGATGTCCCTTCATGACTCCACCCCACACAGCACAGCAGCTTTCCGTCCACCTGTGACAGCCATCTGCACGGGCAGTGTCCCCGGGGACACAGATCTGTGCCTCCATGAGCACCTTCCCACTGACCTGCCAAGGAGAGGCTGGGTGTCCCTGTCCCCAAGACAAGGTACAGAAAAGAGCAGGCATTGTGGGCATGCCTGTCATCCCAGCACTCAGGAGGCTGAGGCGGGAGGAATGCCAGGAAGTCAAGGCCAGCCTGGGCTTTACAGCGAGGCCGTGCACACACACACAAAGGCTATCTCGTTATGCACACACAGATACTCCAGGATCTGAAAAATCTGAAACACTGCATGTTGCATAGTGGGTATTCAACCTATACCAGCCTGCCAACAACCATGAAAAACCAAAAGGAAAAAGAACTGGGGACCACAGTACTTACCTCACCATCTAGATTCAGCACTTGGGAAGCTGAGGCAGGAGTACTTCAGAATGCCAGCAACTTATCCTTTAAATAACCCTATATACTCAAAAATGTCAATTCTTTTCAAATTTACTCAAGGTAAACTATTCATGGGCCAGAGATGTAGCTCAGTGGCGCCATGCCTGCCTGGCAACCACAAGGTCCTGAATTCAACCCCTGGTTCCAAAAACTTAATTAATTAATTAAACAAAATATTCATAACTGAAGTATCAAGAAAATAGATACGTGAGGGCCTGGGTCTAGCTCAGGGGCACGACGCCTGCCTCGAAAGCACAAGGTCCTGAGTTCAATCCCCAGTACCAAAAAACAAACAAAAAAAAGAAAATAGGTATGTGAAACTGGAGAGGTAGCTCTAAATTTTATCCCTCCCCCCAACAAAGTAGGGAGTAAGAGCTAATTTTTTTTTAATAAAAAAAAAAATCAGGAGCATCACAAATTCAAAGACAGTCCGGGCAACTTATCAAGACCTTGTCACAAAATGTAAAAAGCTAGGCGTGGTGGCGCACACCTGCGATCCCAGAACTTGGAAGGCTGGGCAAAGAGGATTGCTGTGAGTTCAAGGGTCACTGAACTATATAGCTGAGATCCTATCTCAAAAAACAAACAACCTAAGAAAGGATTCCCAACTAGAGATGCTTATCATGCTGCTTTTTATTCTTCTCTGGTACAGTTCCTCCCCTCTATTTACTCTCCTTTGAGATAAGGTCTTACTCTGTGGTCCAGGCTGGCCTCAAACTCCCAGGCTCAAGTGATCCTTCTGCCTCGGCCTCCTCCGTAGCTGGGACTGCAGGTCCATGCCACTACACCTAGCCCATCTTTATTTTATCTTACTCACTTTTTGTGTATGTGTGGTGCTAAGGAAGGACCCAAGGACACACACAGTCTAGGCAAGCACTCTACCCCTGAGCTACACCCCAGCTTCTGGCCGCTGTTTACAACTTGCTAACCAGAAAACCTGTAAGTCCAAAACTAAAAGAAGACATTAAAACTGGTATGACAATGACAATGTTATGCAGCCATTACGACACCTCCAAAACATAGAATGCCCCGAGAAAATGTTAAACTAGGTGCTATATGGGCCAAGAATTTAGCTCAGTGGTTTCGCGGCCTGCTTCACAAGCAAGGTTCTGAGTTTGATCCCTGATACCAAAAAAAAAAAAAAAAAAAAACCCACAAAAAACAAAAGAACTATGTGCTATATAACAACAGAATTACATCTGTTAACTGGAAACAATAAAAACAGGATGTAAAAGAAATACACTGCAGGCCAATTAGCAGCTATCCTTAGGAAGGCATATGCCTACACAGAAGTCTGTGCACCTTAATTAACCAGACTGGGAGTCCAGTACTCATCTTTGGAAGTGGGCATTTCCTACAATTCCTGCTACTTCTCTCTGATCCACATGGAGTGTATTCCTTACATAATGAAGGGGTCTGTTTTTCCTAAAAGGAGAATAAGAAAAAAATTCCCTGGTAAGACAGAAACAGTGGATCATATAGATCTTCTTTTAAAATACCACAAAATCTGTTTTTCATTCTGAGTCAGGGTCCTGCCATGGCACCTGGTCTGACTTCAGCTCAAGAGTTCAAGCAATCCTCCTGCCTCAGCCTTTCAATAGCTGCTATGCTATCTCCTTTTGATTTAGATTTAACGACTACAGATAAATAAAATACAAATTTTTACTCAGACCTTTGGAAGATGCAAAGATATTCAGGATTAAAGCATGTGTCCTAAAGAACAAAGCCAACAGGGAGGACCTTAAAGTTTCAGAGCTGTGGACACATATGTGCATGTTTTGTTGTTTTTTGAGACAGGCTCTCACTGTGTGGTTCCGGCTGGCCTTGAATTCACAATGTAGTCCAGGCTGACCTCCAATTTGGGGCGACCCTCCTGCCTCAGCTTCCGGACTGCTGGGATTACAGGTGTGTGTCACCACATCCGGCTCTGCAGGTGTGTTTTGTCTGTAGCATTTACCAATCGTGTCATACAATATTAGCAGCAGCTGTCTGAACCTCACCATAAACTTGAGGAGGGAAAAAAAAACCAGGCCCCTCCCTCACACAGCAGGCGCTCTATAAATGCTGATTACCTGTGGAGTAGGGGCTGCACTGAGTGTGTCTGTGTGGGGGAGGGCTGGCTCCCAGCATAGAACACATCATCGCCAGACACATGAGCTGCTAGATAAAGGTGGAAGGCAGAATCTCTCTCCAGACATTCACGCAGCACAAGACTCTCCCACCTGAGGCTGGTGTGAGGGAAAGGCCCCAGCTAGGTCTGACAGGAATCTCCACAGGGCAGTGGGAAACACAAGAGCCCTGAGCAGCTAGGTCCCTCCCTCCTCCTGGGTGCCAGACACACAATGCATGCTTTTCATCCAAGCTGGGGGTGTTTGTTTGTTTGGGGTTTTTTGAAACAAGGTCTCACTATGTATTCCAGGGTTGTCTTTTTGCTGTTTTGTTTGGTTTTTTGAGACTGGGTCTGAGTATAGAGCCCAGGCTGGCCTTGAACTCACAGCAATTCTCCTGCCTCAGCCTCCCAAGTGCTGGGATGGCAGGCAAGTGTCACCATGCCCAGCTTAAAACTTCTTAAATACTGCTCAGGGTTGGGATGTAGCAGTGGTAGAAAGCTTGCCTCGCATCCCTGAAGCCTTGTGTTTAAACCTCAACACCACAAAACAAATAAATGCTGTTGAGAACACAAATTCCATAGGAGACTTGGATGAGACCC